CCCTCCTGTGGCAGATCTTTTTTTTTTTTTTTTAAATTGGCATCTCACTCTGTCTCCCAGGCTGGGGTGCAGTGGCACGCACCCTTCCGGCCCCCACAGCCTCAACCTGCTGGGCTCCGGCGATCCCTCTGCCTCAGCCTTCCAAGTAGCCAGAACTGCAGGCGCACGCTACCACACCTGGCTAATTGCCTGGGCTGGTCTCGAACCCGTGGGCTCAGGCAGTCTACTCGACTCAGCCTCCCAAAGTGCTGGGATTACAGGCTGAGCCACCGAGCCCGGCCATGCAGCAGATTTTTAAAGACTTGTTCTTTGATTGTCCCTGAAAGCGGTGGGTTATCTGCTTTCTTTCCCTGGAGTAGCTGGTGCTCAGGGAGGCGCTGCTGGAGAGAGCCTAGCCTTCTCCTCTGGGAAGCCCAGAGGCTGAGGTGTTTCCTTTCCTGCTGTAAGCTCCCTGCCTCCACTCTGCTCCTCTTGAGGAGTGGGAGGCTCTGGGAACTGAGAACTGCACCCTGCGGGGTTTCGTTTTTAGTGCCTGGACCCTCAGGTTAAGTCTGATGCTGGCTGGCTACAGTGGCTCTTGCCTGGGGTCCCAGCACTTTGGGAGGCTGAGGTAGGGGCATTGCTTGAGCCCAGGAGTTCAAGACCAGCCCGGACAACATAAAGAGACTTGTCTCTACAAAAAATAAAAGAATTAGCCAGGAGTGGTGGGGTGTACCTGTAGTCCCAGCTACTCGGGAGGCTGAGGAGAGTGGATCTCTTCATCCCAGAGGTTGAGGCTGTGGTGAGCTGTAATTGTGCCACTGCTTCAGTCTGGGACCCCAGCTCAAACATAAAAAATAAATAAAAAGTCTGATACTGTCTCGACTAAGCTGTCCTGGCTCTCTCAAGTTTGTTAAGTGGAGACACTTGAAGGAATCGGAAGATTTTTGTTCGTAGTCTCTTTCTGGTATTAAAAAACCTTTCGTGGTCTAAAGGCGTGGCCTATACATTTTTTTGACTTTGACCCATGGCAAAAAAAAATATTTATACAGTGAACCAGCACCCACATCCATGTAAATAAACCTGAGAGAGTTTCTCTAAGCATATTTCCCCAACACACGATACACTCCGACATTTTCTAGTTTCTTCTTTTTTACATTTCTTGGTTGTCGTTTAATACACGCGAATTGATTTTTATGATGACTCATGTGTTCTGACTTAAGGTCTGGAAATTGTGGCTATAGATTAGGGGAACAGCCTCAGCTATCCTGAGGACACCTCAAGGAGAGGGTCCCATGTCAATATTAATTCGTAAGACATGCACACGAGGGCACAGTTTAGCATCTGACGTGACAGAGAGCTGACTGGTGGCTAGGGCTCGGAGGGAGTGCTCCACCACGGACCAGGCCTGTGACTTTGAGCCTGTTCTTTCCTCCAGATCCCTCAGGTGTGAAGCAACCTTACCCTCCCGGGAGGAGGTGGGTACAGTGCGTTGAAATGACCAGTGCAGTCACGGCACACGGTGTATGTCCACCCACCCCAGCTGAATGGGAGTAGACACATCTGCCCAGAACTAGGGGGTCCCTGCAAATTCATGGCACTCTTGCCGCCCCGATCCACCCTTTCCCAGCTGTTGACAGTGGGTGGCTTCTGCTTGAGTGTGGCAGGCAGGGAAAAGGAAATACCGTCAGCGGTGTGTGTTGTCACAGCCGCGTGTGTGTTTGGCTTCCCGGCCACTCTGTGTATGTTACCACGCACGCACGCTCTCTTCCTGTGCCTGAGCCCAGGAGTTCGAGACCAGCCTGGGCAACTTGGCGAGACCATTTGAGTTGGAGTCTCACTCTGCCGCCCAGACTGGAGTGCAGTGGCCGCTCCCGCCCACCGCAACCGCGACCTGCTGGGCTCCGACAATCCTTCCGCCTCAGCCTTCCGAGTAGCTGGAACTACAGGCGCGCGCTACCACGCCCGGCTCATTTTTGACTTATTGTAGAGATGAGGTCTTGCCACGTTGCCCAGGCGGGTCTCGAACCCGCGGGCTCAGGCAACCCACTCACCTCAGCCTCCCAAAGGCGCGAGCCACCAAGCCCGGCATCTCTGCGTATTCTAAGAATACTCAGCCTGTGCGTTTGCTCTGATTCCATTACGAGCTCTGTTTCTTCTGGTGTGCATTCTTCCATTTGTTGAGTCTGTATTGTTTTCTCTGTGTTGACATTCCTCAGATATTTGGCATTTGAGGAAATGTCTGGAGGAAAGATTGTACTGCTTCCACCCCGATGGTACTGTACTCTACACACTGCAGGGAGAGGGAAGGTCAGAGAACTTTGAGGGCAGTAGTGTGGGTGCTCCCTGCTCCTTCTGGGCATCACTAGCTCCTGGGGTACTGCCTTCCTCGCATGCCAGCCTTCTCCATTCATTGCTCCCATCTGGAAGACATCCTAGTATGAGTGTAAGGTGGTGCCGAGTTTATGTGCTTGGCCCTTCTCGCTGTGATTCTCCTGGTGTGCCCCTGGTGATGGTCCTCAGCCCCTTAGTGGCTTCCATCAGTTCTGCATCCTACAGCGGAACGCTACCATTCATAGCAAGGGCTGCAGCTTCCCTCTTCAACCTGATCTTTGTGTTTCTTAGGGGCTTGTTGGTTGTCAAGTTGGAGTTCTCCTTTTTGTTTCAAGCTCAGCTATGTTTATTTCTTCACCCTTTTATTTGTGATGCATATCTTTTCTATCATTAGGGATTTAGTATGGGAAGGGAAGACTAATATGTTATCAGTCTGATATTTTGTAACCTGAAGTTCTGTTTTGTTTCCTTTTTTTTTTTTTCTTTTTCTTTTTGAGTTGGAGTCTCACTGTTGTCCAGGCTGGAGTGCAGTGGCATAATCATGGCTACTGTGGCCACAACCTGCTGGGCTCAGGCGATCCTTCCACCTCAGCCTCCAAGTAGCTGGGACTACAGATGTGCACCACCATGCCTGGCTGATGTTTTAATTTATTGTAGAGACAGTGTCTTGCTATATTGCCCAGGCAGGTCTTGCACTCATTGGCTCAAGTAGTCCTTTCACCTCAGCCTCCCAAAGCACCGGGATTACAGGTGTGATCCACCATGACTGACCAAAATTTGTAATTTTAACTGTTGGAGTGTACAGTTCAGTAGCATTAAGTACTTTTACATTGTTGTGTACCCATCACCATCCACCATTCATCTCCAGAACTTATTTTCTCCCAACTGCAATTCCATACCCATTAAACAATAACTCCCTAGTCCTCTCTCCTCCCAGGCCCTGGGAACTCCCATTCTGCTTTCTGTTTCTATGAACTTGACTCTTCTGGGAGCCTCGTATAAGGAGGGTCTGTGTTAGGTCAGAACCTAGTAGGGCTTCCAGTATGTTAGGTCAGACCAGATGGGTCTGTGATCTGGTGCCACGCAAAAGATGCAGAGAATTGCACAGAAACTAGATTGGAAAATGTAGTTTGTTTAGAAGGTACATACAGAGAGAGAGAGAGAGAGAGAGAGAGAGAGAAGATGATTGACCTCCCCAAGTTAGGGGACGGGACCAAAGCTTAGGAAACATGGTGGCCATAGCTCACAGGGCCTGGCCAGAGCTTAACAACACATTAGCAGCTGCTGCTTGAAGTTGAGAATCTCTTTTAAACCTTCCCTTTGAGGGGGGAGGGAGGTCTTTAAGGTGATTGATGGTGGTCTGCTTCACATCTTCACAGATAAGCCAGGTACTGTTGTGAGGTGATGGACAGCAGGCAGATGGGTGGGCCCATCACACGCCTGGAGCCATGGTGTTGGAGTCTCTGTGCCACAAAGGCCAGGAAGGGCTGATTAGGTTAACTTGGTTTCCTTTGGCTGGAGGCAAATACTTGGAATAGAAAAGCTGATTAATACGAAACAAGCTGGGGAGGGAGTTTTAAAGCAATTATCAGTGGCTATTTCTGAGAAACTGGTTCTATCCTTGGCTAGTGATTGGAGGGTAAATTAAAGTGAACTGCTAGAGAAATATGACAAAGCTAAGCAAAGTTAAAATAGCTGCACTTTCGCTAAGATTATTCCATTAAATCATTCCATCTTGGCATTTTACCCTTTCAGTCTGAATCAACGCTTCTTCCTTCCTTCCTGTCTGCATTTTTTTCAGTCTGAATTTCCTTCCTTCCATCCATCTTTCTTTCATCAGGGTCTCCCTCTCACTCAGGCTGGAGTGCAGTGATTAGCTCACCTCACAGCTCACCACGGACTCCACATTTTCTTCAACCTCAGAGCAACTGGGACCACAGGCACACGCCATCATGCCGGGCTGATTTTTTTTTTTTTGCTTTGTAGAGACAAAGTCTCGCTATGTTGCCTAGGCTGGTCTAAAACAGTCCTCCAGCCTCGGCCTCCCAGAGTGCTAGGATAATAGGCATGAGCCACCTCTCCCAGCCTAATCTGAATTTCTCATTTTAATCACTTTAAATGTAAATAGCTATCTGTGGCTCTTAGCTGCCCTACTGGATGGGGGCCTAGAGCCAGGATGGTCCTGGGAGAGGTTTGCTTCTGCTCTCTAATATGGTCTAGATCAGAATCTAGTCCAGTGCCCAGCTTCCAGGCCTTTGAGGCATGTGCACGCACCTGCCAGGAGAGGGTAACAGAGGCATGACTCAACTAACAAGCATCTCTTTGAGGTCTGGAGACCGAGGCTGCCGCAGAGGGGCCACTGCTCTGGGAGGCTGAGACTGGAGTCCTTCCCCAGACGGTCTGTCCCAGGGAATCTCTGCTTTCCACACTACGGAGCCCCCCCTTGTGATGTGCCCTTGTACAGGTGTCTGGCCCTGTGAGGAGCAGTGAAGCTGCATTTTTCAGTGGTTTGCACCTCCCAGAAGCCGTCCCCTCCACGAGTGGAGGGATGTGGTTACATTCTGTGTGCTTGGAAGAGCAGCACCGTCTGTGACTCAGAAATCACGCTCGAGGTGGAAGTGAAACTCCTCGAATTAACCGCGGTGACAGCGCCTCACCCTCATTCTCGTTTCTTGTGGTTTCTGCAGTTCTGGACTTCAGCGACCCCTTCAGCACGGAGGTGAAGCCCAGAATCCTGCTGATGGGGCTCCGGAGAAGCGGCAAGTCGTCCATTCAGAAAGTCGTCTTTCACAAGATGTCCCCCAACGAAACGCTGTTCTTGGAGAGCACGAACAAGATATGCCGGGAGGATGTCTCCAACAGCTCCTTTGTCAATTTTCAGATTTGGGACTTCCCAGGGCAGATTGACTTTTTCGACCCTACCTTTGACTACGAGATGATCTTCAGGGGGACAGGAGCATTGATATTTGTCATCGACTCCCAGGTAAAGCACACAGTCTCTGTGATGCCCTCCCAAGCCCCCCTATTCAAGCAAGTCCAGGACCAGGCGTGGTGGCTCACGCCTGTAATCCCAGCACTTTGGGAGGCCAAGGTGAGAGGATTGCCTGAGCCCACGGGTTCGAGACCAGCCTGGGCAATCGGGCGAGCCCTCATCTCTACAATAAATCAAAAAATTAACCAGGCCTGGTGGCACGTGCCTCCTGTTCCTGCTACTTAAAAGGCTGAGGCAGAAGAATCGCCCTGAACCCAGCGGGTCGAGGCTGTGTTGGCTGTGAGTGTGCGACTGCACTCCAGCCTGGGCAACAGAGTGAGACTCCGACTCAATAAAAAAAAACAAGTTCATTTGTGACGGTTTTGGTTTGGTTTTCAAACTCTGGAATAGGTCATTCTACCAAACAAGTGTTTCTTAGGGTTCTTGAGTTTCAGCCTAGGCCAACAGTGAACCCACTGATCTTTAGGGATCAGTCAGTCAAAGACCTGGAACACCCTCATAGATGCAGGGACCATTCAGGCCAAGGACAGTGTGTCACCCTGCGCTGGTACCCTGGCGGACATTTGTAAAAGATCACAGGCTCTCTGCACTAAAAACATGTGTATCAATTTACATTTTAAACTGTTTATTATTTCCTATCTGGATAAAGTTCTAAAAGTTGGACAGATTTTCTTCTGAAGCAAATCAATATAATTATTGCTGGTACACAGTTGATGAAGGGTACGTGTATTTTATAGATAATAATTAAATATAAAAAGTAAATGTGAGATGAATATCTCTCTTAGGAAGATGGATATTTGATTCTTTTTTCGATTTAATTTATGTAACCATGCTTGAATAAGACAGACCTTGGTATCAGTTCTTCTTTTGTTTTTTGTTTGTATAGATGTTAGCACTGAGAAACTTTGTTCACAAAAATAAATGGTTGGCTATGGGGTGAGCATTGTTACAACATTCATCCAATTATTGATTCCTTCCAAGTTATGGCCCCTAATTACCCAGTTTTCTATTATGCAAAAGTATTATTATTATTATTATTATCATTATTTTGAGTTAGAGTCTCACTTTGTCGCCCAGACTGGTGTGCAGTGGTATGATCACAGCTTACCACAGCCTCAACCTCCTGGGCTCAGACAATCCTTCTGCCTCAGCGTCCCAAGTAGCTGGAATTGCAGTGATGCACCACCACGCCCAGCTAATTTTTGTAGTTTTTTGTAGAGATCAGGTCTCACTATGTTGCCCAGGCTGGTCTAGAACTCCTGGTCTGAAGCAGTCCTCTTGCCTTGGCCTCCCAAAGTACAGGGATTACAGATGTGAGCCACCACGCCCGGCTGGCTTCGCGACAAGGTTCTTCTTCCCCTTTGTTGGAAGGAAATAATTGGGAGCCCCTTGACTGGTGAAGAGCCTCGTGCCGCGGTCACGAGTCATGTCCTGTGTCAGATTCTCTTTTCCCACGTTCCCCCATAGTTTGGTGCATCTGCTGTGTCTGCGTCTCAGGCTGATCTATTTTAAGGAGGGTGTGTGCCACAGGATTGGGGCGCTCATGCTCCCCAGGTTCTCCAGGCCCGGGGCTCTTAAGAAGTATCCCAGACGCGTGGCTCAGCCTAATCTCTTCAGGGGCCCTGTCTTGAGGCTGGGGAAGGGAAGTCCAAGGTATCAGCTCCTCCAGGCACGCACTGAACCACCTCTGAAGTTCAGCTTGTGCGTCTCCCTGGAAGTGTGGATGCCACCATCAGGCAGGCTGGTCAGTTGCGGGTGGACATCACCCGCACCTAGCCCGCACGACCCTTCCGGGAGCATCGGAGGTGTTCAGGAGGAAGAATTGTGAAGACGGTTCATGAGAACAGCTCTGAGTCGTCTGTCCATGCTTGAGAACATCCTCTGAGAAGCCTGCTCATGCCCGAGAGGATCTGAAGTCCATTCTGGGAACTAGGCGCCTGTTTAGTCTAATAAGGGCATTTTCAGTCCCAAGTGGCCGTGCCGTGCGCTTCTTGTGTAGCTGTGGGAGCACGGCTATATGGTTAGAAGGATTCTTTCTGTCTTTTGGGGTGGGGTGTGCAAGGGGGAGGCTTTGGATTCCATGCCTGATCCACAAACAGCTGTCCGCTCTCCTCCCCTGGGCCCACCCCGATGTGCATGTGTGGCGCATGCCTGCAGACACCTGCGTGGTGTCCAGGGCCTGCTGGCAGCAGCTGCTCCCCTGGCTGTCCCACTTGTACCGACCTGTTTTCTGGCCCATCTGTGGTCTTGGCAGGATCCCCTGCCTTCCTCTCTCAGGTCTGCCAGCACCATAAGTTTTAGGGAGCCTGGAGCTCGAGGGAGTGGATGGGGTGGGGGGTGCAGGCTGCCACATGGGACGGGGACTCCAGGGATGTCGTCCTCATCTGTCTCTCCTAAGCTCCGTTTTCCTAAGTCACGCAGCTGCTGCTTCTGTAGTCGGACTAGGTAGCAGCAGTAGTAGTGTTACCCATGGCTGAGTGGATTTCCAACCAGAGAAGTCATCAGTTCAAGACAAGGGCTTCGTAAGTACTTAAACACCATGTTGTGCTGACGTGGCCATTTTCAATGCAGATCTATCTTAGGTGTTTGTAATATGGCCATGATGTGTCAAAAATAGGTATACTTGCCGATTTTAACATTGAAAGTGTAATCTAGTTTTACTTTTATAAGAACATGAAAAGCAATTTGTGTTGGTAAATATGTTTTATTATTTTAGTTTTGTTGCTTGGGGGTTTTGTGTGTATGAGTTTGTGTGTATGTTTTGTAGAGGTAGGGTCTCACTGTGTTGTCCAGGCTGGAGTGCAGCGGCTCTTGATCATGGAACATTATAGCCTCAAACCCTGGGCTCAATGATCTTCTCACCTCAGCCTCCTGATTACCTGGGACTACAGGTGCATACCACTGCAGCCACCTCTTGGGCTTTTTTTTTTTCGTTGTTGGGCAGGGAAAGGTATAAGAATGTTTAAGAAATTTTTTTTAAGTTATGCTTTTTTTTTTTTGAGTCAGAGTTTCACTCTTGCCCAGGCTGGAGGGCAGTGGCACGCTCGCAGCCACCGCCACCTCGACCTGCTGGGCTCAGCCTTTCAAGTAGCTGGAACCACAGGCATGTGCCACCCTGCCTGGCTGGTTTTTTGATGTACTGTAGAGACGAGGTCTTGCCAAGTTAAGTTGCCCAGGCTGGTCTCAAACCTGTGGGCTCAGGCAATCCTCTTGCCTTTGCCTCTCAAAGTATTGGGATTATGGGTGTGGGTCACTGCACCCAGCAGGAATTTCTAATCTTTGGAGATATGATACTCTGTTGACATTGGGTAGTTTTGCTCACAGACATGTTCCCTTAACTCTCCTCTCTAGTTGAAGACATAAGCAATGACACTTTTTAAAAGTTGCAATTTACATGCAATAAAATACGCCTATTTGAACGGGTTTGACAAATGTATGCACAGTGTAACTGCCTGTCATTCAAGACATAGAATATTTCTACCACCCCAAAGGTTCTCTTGTGCCCTTTCTCAGATATTCCCCCCGAAACTCCCAGCACCGGGTACTCACCTATCTGCTTGCTTTCTGTTACTGTGGATTACTTTGCCTTTTCCAGAATTTAACCCATGTGGAATCATACAGTCATAACTTGCATTTTTATGTAATGCTTAATCTGCTGACCCAGTGTCCAATATTTGCCTTTCATTTTAAATACCTCTATGGAGTTTAAAGGATAAGAGGGATCCATGTGCTTTTTTCCTCTCTTCATAGTTTCCTAATCATATATTTAATATTTTGACTTATCTAGAGACTAGGGATACCTTTTTACTGATTTAGTTTGGGGAACAGAAGAATGCCAGTAAATATCACCAGTTATATTGGATTTATGTATTTTCCAGATTCGGAATTAAAGGTTTGGGTGAAAAGGCCTTAAATTCTGCCTTCCATGCCGTGCACAGTGGCTCAAGCCTGTAATCCCAGCACTTTGGGAGGCCGAGGCGAGAGGATTGCCTGAGCCCTTGGGTTTGAGACCAGCCTGGGCAACTTGGCGAGATGGCGTGACCTTGTCTCTACAATAAATCGAACAATTAGCCGGGTATGATGGCGTGTGCCTGTAGTTCCAGCTACTTGGAAGACTGAGGCTGAAAGATCACCTGAGCCCAGCAGGTCAAGGCTGCGGTGGCCATGAGCAGCGTGCCACCACATTCCAGCCTAGGAGACAGAGTGAGACTCTAACTCAAAGAAAAAAATTCTGTCTTCCAGATAACTCTTTTTTTTCCTTTGCTGTAATAGCAAGACCTGTGTACACCCTTCCAGTTGGTGATAAGTAAGAGATCTGACAACCGCAAGTGTTGGTGAGGGTCTGGCAGATTAGATGCCGTCACACATTCAAGCTCATTCAGGGTGCCATAACTGTGACCTGAGGTACTCCTGCTGGGTGAGCCACGTGCACAGGAGAGCATTCGCTTTATCACGGTAACCACGTCCATTTGGAAACACTTGGAATTTCCATCAGTAGGCAAATATATGATAAGTTACAGACCATCCCTAAGAGGAAATTTTGTGGAGCCATCAAAAGGAATCAAAGCACTAGCGGCTTGTACTGTGTAACATTCAGCATAGGTAAACCTCCCTGCTGTAATGTGGAATGAAAAGGCAAACTAAGCCGGGCTCGGGGGCTCAGCCTGTCATCCCGCGCTTTGGGAGGCTGAGGTGAGTGGATGGCCTGAGCCCGCG